AGTCAAGAATATTTATAATAATAGATAGATAAATAGATATAATAGAAAGCAATATTTAAAAGCAAATTAAAAAATTAATTATAAAACTTAACTATTAATGTGTTATAGTTGTTTTTAAATGCTAATTGAGAAGCATAATTATTTACCTATGAGTTCGAATTTTAAAGGAATGGATATTATGAAATAAGTACAAACAACTCTTTATTCAGAGAATGTCAAATAAGAAGTAAAAATTATTTACTTCTGATCTAAAAATATTTGTAGAGACCGACCTTGTATCCGGCACTTGGAATAAATATAAATTTTCTAAAAAATGTTAAATTTCACTACAACTACATGATGATGACTTAAATTAAGTATTCAAGTTTTTCTGGATTATAATTGATGATTTTATTTTTCAGAAATAAATGTCAACTTTTTTCCTGGAAAAATATTTATTTAATTATATTATTCTAATTGAAAATTATAATATATATATATATATATATATATATACAGGATGTCCCAGACTTTAACGTCAAGCCTAAACGAGATGATAGTATTGACCCTAACTGTTTTGAAAAAAATTATCTCACGTTGTTTGGAAATTATGAACTTTTAGGTACAACCTACAGCTTTGGTGAAAATATGATCATTTTTTGGTTGTTGTGGTTAATTTTAACTAATTTTGTTTATTTAAACTATGGAACCGTAAACGTGAATGAACATTTTGAGACCACAGTAAATAACAACACAATAACACAATTGCCAAAATTTTTCAAGAATTATGAGTTTTTGTTGATTTATGAACTTAAAATTTGAAAGCGGTAGACCTTGAAAAGCCCTCTTTTAGAAAATTGTACTAAGGTGTGTTATCAAGTTGCATCAGAAGCATAAATGCGCCAAACATTTAATCAGGATTGTAAAATGCTAAAATGATTAGTAATATTATTATTGAAAAATTTCGAGTAAATTTATAGTAAAAGTATTATCTTGTGTTATTTGTTTGATTGTGAGCACTGTTGCTTAGTTTTCCAGACCTTAATATAATTTTTAAGTTAATTTAATTTAATTGTTTTATAAAACGTATTGTTAATTTTAAATTAGATTTAACAGTTTTTGTTATATAACCTCTATAAAAGCGACACTTAATTGAGGTAAAAGAGATCGAGAAAGAGAGCTTCACCTTGGCAAAGATGTGAAAAATAAAAAAAATAGCAAATAAAGTATAACAAAAAGTTATTCCAACTCTGATGATGAATGTTTCTAATAAAATACCAGATTAAGGTTAATTACAGAATCAAATGAATATTTCTGATAAAATACCAGTTCAAGATTAATTACAGTGTTATCTCTGTAAAAAATGCACCCATAAAATTTATTTTTTGCTTTGGTTGAATAATGTTGCTATTATTTTGTAAAAATCTTTTGAAATTAAAATAAAACATTGGACCTGTTTGCCCCCTGGTCGTCTCAATTTACTTCGCCTATGGGGTAAAAAAAGGTTATGAATTTCTAGAATAATGAACATAGTCAGATAATTGTTTGTATCATATTTGTTATGATATAATTGTTTTGGTTTTCACAATATAATTACCCTATATATTTTACAGTTTGAATTTTGTACAAAATTTTCGCAAATTAACCTTAGTAACCAAAAAATTGTTATAATGTCATAACAACGTGAGATTTTTTCAGGGCAGTTAAAGTCAATATTATCACCCCATTTCGGCTTGACGTCAACGTCTGGAACACCCTGTATGCTGTATATACATACATATATATATATATATATATATATATATATATATATATATATACATGTGCATTATTATACCGACTGAGCCTACATTATGTCAATTATGAATTTATTCATAAATATATAGCTTATAGAGCAACATCATATGACCAGCATTGTCTATGGTAGTGAAAGTATGATTCTAACATACTTGCAAAACACACAAGTATTGAGAGACAACGAACGTCCTTATACATATGGAGAACACACAATAGCGTATTATTTTATATGGGCGTTGCATAGTATGTGTTGTGTTCGTCGAGAAAAAAATACTCTGTAGTAGTCTATACAGCGCATAGGTTGTCTTAACCCTTTCCACCGGCGAGCACCTGAGTTTAGTGCTGTCCGAAATTCGATACAGGTAAGAGGAGACGAATTAAATAAGAGCATTTTGTCGGATGGTAACAATTTTATCTATATTATTTTTTTTAGAATCAATTGTGAAATTTAGAATCACCCATGATCTAAGCATATTTATTGTAATTGATAAGTGGCTCTAGAAATGTCTATATTAAATATTGTTTGCTGTTTTTTTTTTACATTGATGATGAGAAAAATCATAGCCTCAAAAATTTTGTACCTTAAAATTTTGTGGTTATGTAGTTATTATTAATTTTAGTTCATCGTTTTTATTAATAAAAACTAGTTCCGGGTTCGCCGGTTCGATCCCAGCCAAACCCAAGTCGGACAATAGGCAGCTTTCATGTCAAATTTCCACTTGAGTTTATAGATCTCATCATAATATTTTTTTTAAATAATTCGTCACACACACACATACACACATATATAAATATATATATATATATATATATATATATATATATATATACATATATATAGTGTATCTAAATATCTACATTATGAGAAGCAAACCAATTATATCACAATAAATAACACATATCAAACAATCATCTGACTGTTTAGTAAAACTCCCAGCTAATTCATCATTTCAAAAATGTATTTTACTTGCTGTTTTACAAAAATTTGTCACCTTTTACGCGATAGGCGGTACTAAAATGATACTTCGTCAGAGAAAATTATCAGCTGAGTTGGAATAACTATTTATTTAACTTTTTTCTTGTAAAATTGCTTACTTTAACTCAATTCACTTTTTCATTTACTATTTTTCATTGTTGCCACTTTTGCCAGGATAATGGTTCTGTTCGTCTTTTTTACCCACCCCACATGTTAGCTATTGAAAAGGTTTTATAAAAACAGCCGTTGAATCTAACTTAAAATTAACAATCTTGTAAAACAGTTAAATAACGTTTACTAAAATTTATTTTAATGTCTAGTAAACTAAACAACGGTGCTAACAACAAAACGAAAAAACTAACAACAAAAGAAAATAATTTTGTTGTAAGTTTTCAAACATGGCTGTATATCTTCTGACAGCAAGATTCGTAAAAATTATGGTGAAAGTAGGTTTTACATCTTTTACCCTCTACTTTCAAATATTGTTGTTGAAAAATCATAACTTTATTTGTTTTTGAGATATTGGTGGTGGATCTTCTTATCTGCTGACTTTTAAGCCCTGATCTACCCTATTTATGAGCTTTGTGCAAATTAATAATTTATGATTTAATAAGTAAAACAATTGAGAAAAAAAATATTTTTAAAAATATACGTACCAATCGGTACTAGATATCATGTATAAACATGATTTTTACACTTGTCCTAAAAAGATAACAAGTAAAATTTTAATCAACTGTCTATTAACAGCGATTTTGTGTTTGACAGAAATTAATGTAGAATGAATGAACTTTTTATCCTGGCCCTGGTAGTATTCTTGAGAAGGTCTCTGGCAAGATTTAGAAAAACATAGTAAGTTTCAACAGTTGGTAAGAAAGTGCATTGCAAAATGCACATATGAGTGATTGCAATATTGTTTTTTGCAAATTTTCATAAGAAGTGGCCAAAATTGTAAAAACATTTTGCAGTTTCTTACTGAGCAATAAAGTACAAAATAGGCAAAGTTTTCGAATTCTAAAATGTGGTCTTGAAGTACATATTTTATCCACCACATTTAGTATATAACTTTTTCCAAATACATGATCGAAATTTGTAGTAAAACAAATTTTGATAACAGGTTTTTATTTAAAATAAAAATATACTGTGAATGAAATTTAAATATAGCATTTATTCAAAGCAATCGGGCCTTATAATATATAAGACAAATCAAATTATTTGTATATAACCAATTTTTGTCGAATAAACATATACATCATTTTGTTTACTTAAATTCTGTGGCTCCTGATCCTTTGGTCATTTAGTCAGATGCATTATATTTTTGCGTAGCAATTATAAATTAATCCTAAAAGGTTTTTTTATTCTTATATCGTAACAGCTATCAGAACCATACGTTCCATAAGCTATTGGGCTGAAAACTTCTTACTTAGTATTTTCAGATGATAACCCAATGATTAATACATCTATATTTGATGATTTCATTATTAGAATTTATCTAATAGGTATGACTTTTTATTGGTGCAGTAATGTCGGGCAAGGGCTATTTTCACTTGGATACATAGTGCGATTTATATTTCCAAGTGAAAACCATTGTCACTGCCGCTTGACAACAGGGTGCTCGAAGCGGGTCTCGAACCCGGGAGCTCTAAATCAAGTCCCGTCGCTCTCAACCGCTTACCTACGGGCGAGCCAATCTTATTAGAAATGATGAAATTATTGACTATTATATAACAATTGATATTGCTTCTAGGAATAAAATATTGTAAATGTTAGAAAAGATTATTTATTGTTCTTCAGTAGACTTCTGTAGAGTATTATGTCTGAGGATGTCCTTGCAACATAAATCGTTCTATCACATTTCTCGTTGAAAAACATCTTTTACATAACACCTGACGGAGTTGGTTTCAAAATATACCATACTCTACAAGCAAATTTTTATTGCACCTAATTCCAATGGTTAATATTGACCAGTTCGCTCCACCGGAAACCACGTGCCATTTTTACAATTTTTTCATCCCGGAAAAGGTATATTAAAAATCACAATATAAGGTATAATCAGATGAATTGTGATATTTTTTTCAAGATTGTCGACAATCGGCTGGGTACCCCACTACCGCTCTCTCGTCCACTACTAAGGCGGCACATTGGATGTCTTCTTGTTATTCACATGAAGCAACAAGTTTTGCCTCAGTCGTGCATCGTACATCGCTCTTGGCTCACATGTTCATTCGATTAGTTCTTTTTTATTAAACGACATTGTGCTGCATAGGCGGTCGAGGGACTCAACAATCCCCAATTCACGCCGTGAATCTGTGAACTAACTTAGTGCGCGAAATTATTTTCTGCCGGAGAAAATTTTGGTTAAAAAAATGTGGAATTTTTGTTTAGTATTATCTGTCTTCGGTGTGTGTGTTTTAAGTGCACTGACGAACGCGCAAACTAAAGGTATGTGATGTAAGAAAAAATCCAAAATTAACCAGATTTTAAGCTGGAGTTGGTTCAATAGTTTGGGGCTAAGAATTTGATTTAATAGAGTCTATAGCGATATTTTTGGTAAAAACGATCCCAAATACCAAAGACGTCTTGTTTAGGGTTTATCAATGTTTTAAATAAAAAAATAGAGTATGGTGTAAAAATATGCATAAACACTATTCGCAATTTTTGTACTGCAGACTCCGATGACAAATATGTCTGTCTGCATAAAGCAATTGTTAAATTTAAAGTCCAAATAAATTTGATTATATGTGATATAGGTAAGTAAATTTCCAAAATGAACTAGATTGTAACGATGATTTGGTTCAATAGAGTTATGGCTAAGGATTCGGTTTAGTAGAGTCTACAGAACTGCTCTTGTTAACAAATATCAGAAAATGTTTTGTTTAGTTTTAATCACAACATTGATTAAAAAAAGCACTGTTAAACTATGCCTAAAGATATTATTAATTTTTATCAAATAAATTTGCAAAGGTATGTATTATAAGAAAATCTTTCAATATTAGGTTTTAATAGAGTTGTTTCTGAAATTTGGCTAAGGATTTGGTTTAATAGAGTCTATAGAAGTTTTTGTTAACAAGAATTCCAAATGGCAAAATTGTTTTGTATAGTTTTAACTAAGAAAGAGTACAGTGAAATTATACATAAAATAAAATTTTACAAGTATTTTTGAAAAAATATGTATTATTAGAAAAACTTCCAAATTTAACTCTTAATAGAGTTGGTTCAATGGCTTGATTCTATAATTTGGTTCAAGATTTGGTTTAATAGAGTCGATATGATTGTTTTTATTAACAATGATCAAATGTTTTATTTAGTTTCAAAACATTGATTAAAAGAAAGTGATTTCAAATAAATTGGAAAATATTTAATTTAATAAAAACTTCCAAAATTAGCTCCTAATAGAGTTCGTTCAATTGTTTGGCTAAAGATTTAGTTGATATAGGGCTGTTTTTGGAAACGAAGATTTCAAATAATCAAAATATTTTGTTTTGTTTTAATCACATTAATTAAGAAAGAGTGCCATAAAAATACACATGAAACTATTATGAAATTTTTCAATTTGATAATAATGTGTGACATAAGAAAAAAATGCAAATTATCTCATAATTTATTGTTTGGCTAAAAATTTGGTTCAGTAGTCTATGAAATTGTTTTTTGTTAACAATTATCCCAAATAGCAAAATTGTTTTGTTTAGTTTTATTTACACTATTGATAAAATAGTTTCTACCGTAAATATATGCATAAAACGTCCAAAATTAACTTTTAATAGAGTTGGTTCTAAAGTTTGGATTGGGTTCAATAAATACTGATTATATGAAGATCTTTTTACTAAACGGATTCCAAGTAGGAAATACGTTTCGTTTATTTTTAATGACAATATTGTTAAAAAAATGTACCTACCGTAAATTTCAAAATATTATGTCACAAAAAGTGTATATAAGAAAATCTTCCAAATTTAACATATATAGTTAGATTTTGTTCAATCATATCTATAGGGCAGTTTTTTTTGTTACAGATTACAAAAAACTAATTATTTAATTATGTGATATAAATATACAAAAAAAAATGTGAAGGCATAAAGGCATAAAACAATCAATTTTGGAAGTTTTGGCAAAAAACCAACAAATATTTTTTCAATAATAAATATTTTTATTAGTACAAAACCTATATTAAATTGAATTTTTCAAACTTTGATAATATGTGAAAAACGAAAAATTCAAAATTAACTAGACTGTACCAAGGATTTGGTTCAATAGAGTTGGCTCTATATTTTGACTTAGGATTTTGCTCAATAGAGTTGACTCTATATTTTGACTAAGGATTTTGCTCGATAGTGTTGACTCTATATTTTGACTAAGGATTTTGTTTGATATAGTCTTTAGGTCCATTTTTGTTAACAATGATCCTAAATAGCTTTAATTTTTTCAGTTATATTTAAGTTTCAAATAAAAAACAGAGTATAGTGTAAAATCATACGCAAATTTCAAACCTACACAACATTTTACTGTAGACAATAAATATTTCTACCTACATAAAGCAATTATTAAATTCAAAATTTTCAAATAAATTTTATAATAATTATCATATCATTTAATATAAACTCCCAAAATTTACTAGATTGTAATTGAGATTTGATTCAATAGAGCAGCTTCTACAGATTGGCTGAGAATTTTGTTAAATGAATAATATTATATTAATTATGTGCCTTCATTAACATCAAATTTTGTGAACCTTGTCCATTAAGAGGATCACGTTTATCACGATTGGAATAATATATAATAATATTATTATTTTAATTTATTACTATATTTCTGTCATTTACTGGTATAAGATTATTATTTTTGCCCGATGCTTTACAGTCAACCTTGTTCGAGTTGATTTATGCAAACAAGCAATCTTAGCATTGAATAATTAATTTAATGTAGGTACAATTATATAAGAAAACACACAAACAAGAAATGCATTTAATATTTAATGCGGCTGTTAATATGAGAAAAGTGTTTAGAAACAATTTATTCAAAATATAAATGTGCTTCTATTTAAACACATGCATTAATTACTCGTATATATATATATATATTAATTACTCGTATATATATATATATATATATGTGTGTGTAAAAAGATATTTAGGGTAGATCGGGGCTCAAAGGCCCGCGGGTAAAAAGGTTCACTACCGATATCGCAAAAACTATTCCATAAAATTGAATAGTTAATTTACCATTAATTGCTTATAAAAATCTATTATTTCAATAACGGTTTATGAATTTTATAATTTATATAAGTATGAAATTACTATCACAATTGATGTAGATATTGTTTTTTTTTTTTTGAATTATGGTTAATAATTTCGAATCATCTTTAGTTTATCAGTAATAAATTATTAATATTGAAATAAATGTCATAAACCATTTAAAATAAATGTTATAATTGAAACAGATATGAGACATTTAAATTAAATTGTTGAATATTTTGGTAGTAATATCAGAAGGAAAAGATTTGTATTATAACAATGGGCAAAACCATAAAAAAGTAAAATTAATCCTACTGAAGGAACAAAAATATTGAATTCCATTGTTTATATATATATATATATATATATATATATATATATATATATATATATGCATTGAATCAAGTGGGCCAAGGAAAGTATTACTTGCAAAAAGTTTGATCATAAATACGATCATCTGATCAGAAATAAATATTACATAAAGACTGTGTATATTTTGATTGTTTATAATTATGACAATAATTATGAACAATTGTCTATAGCTAATAAGCTGTATAATATTTATTTATTGTTGTTAAGTTTTCTTGAAATTACTGCCCATTAATTTTATTAAATGATTAAAAATAAATTCATTACATTTATTACAAATATTTTTTTTAAACTTATCAAACTTGTATTTGTTTAATTTACCAATAATTTAGCTTTTAAATGTGAATAAATTCTATCAAAATATGTGAAATATTTAATTAAATAGGTATAGCTCATCATTAGATAACCTAAATATATTTTATTAAACAGATATTCATTAGTAAACATTACTTTTTTCACTTTATGGATTTAAAAACAATTTTCTCTTTTGTCGTGAAATGGGATCCAATAGATTAAAAAAGGGAATCGAAAATAACCAAAAATCTTTTTTTTATGCCTTTTAGCTCAGTTTTATTTTATAATTCCCAAAATACTACAGCATTTTTACTAGTATTTTATTAAGTTTGCTTGGCACAATATTATTTTACATGTAAAGGTCTTTAGTCTTCTTCAGCATAAAATTTAAGAAATTTCCTAACGGATTGTCTTATTTATTATGACTATGTTTATATGAAGATTTTTATTAAAGTATCATCAAATATCAGCAGTTTTGTTGTATTTTAAATTTAAAATAAATTAACCTGTTCGATTCGGATGCCGAAAATTCATATAAATCTCGGAATTCGCGAGTGGAAAGTTTTAAATTATTAAAATTATACTAAAGGCAATAAGGCAATTATACTCAAGACAAATTCGTGATTTTTTTGTTTTAAAAATGAATTTAAAATAAATTATTAAACGTTAAAAGTTAAGTTACAGTTTAAAGATTTTTGAAATTGCTTGATTTAACAATCTTTACAAAAATTATAGGCAAGTCGATTATTTTGATGAAAACTGCTTGTGAGGAAAATGAAATTTTTAAATTTTGCTTAAAATTTTAATTAATTAAATCTTAATTTGCAAATGCTTAAATGTTTAATTAATTAAATCTGAATATTATGTGAGTATAATCAAGCAATAAATCTCAATAAACAAAATTGTTAGTTGGTCAGATAGACTTGGGAATACTGTATAAATAAAGTATATACATTTTTAAGTTTCTGTTAAATCAAAATGTGTGTCATTCTTAAAATGAATTTATTATTTAAAATTAAAATACTTCACCAGTATTCTAAAGTTTCACTTTAAACATTTGCTTCTATAGTGTATATACATACTTCAAAAAATAAATCCAAAATAATAATGAAATGCCTGCTTTTTATATTAACTATTTACGTTTCAAAAGTATGTTTAGAAAAAGCATCTTTAGAAATATCTGCCAAGAACACGTTTTTAGTTAGAAAATAAACAATAAAACTAATATTATAAGATGGCGATAAAAATATATAAAAACAAATTATTCTTTTAAAAATATTATATATATATAAACATATATATATATATATATACATTTATTTTTTATACATCAAATAACCCAAATAACTATTGGCCAGATGGGATCAAATCGTGGCGCAATATTTAAAAATTGGGGCTTTTATAAACTTTTCACAAACAAACATTTAAAATTAAATCAAAAACTTGTGAAGAAACTTGCATGTAGATAAAAATTGAAAAAAACAAACAATAAAATTCACCAAAAAATGGCATCAATAGATTATACATGTACAAGTTATGTACAAATTATAC